AAGCCAAGTCCCTATGGACTGAGCTACTGTCGCCCCGTCTTTTGTTCTTTATTTTAACATGTATTTCAATTAAGGACCACTTTAGTCAAAGAATTTTTTTCCATTTGCAGTATTATATTTGGCGGTATGGCTCTGTTCCGGGGCCCCTCTGCCTTTCCTTGGGCCTACGCAGAAAGCCTCTTCCAAGCACCTACGTGGAAAGCATAAGGCAGAGTGAGCACACCTCTCTGCCCTTCCACATGCAAAAATGAAGCCTGAGGCAGAGAGAGCAAACCTCCCTGCCCTTCCATGCGCCTACATGGAAAGCCTAAGGCAGGGAGAGCAGCAGCATTGGCTGTTTGAGATCAGCTGATGTAGCTGGGATGTGAGCTGAGCTTGACATCATGTCCTGCCTGAACTAATGCTATGATTTGGCTATTTGGCACTATAAGAGCGAAAGTCACTGATTGAGTGAGTGAAGCCACTTCCTGTTTCAAATTAAAAGCCCTCTAGCGTTTCATACACAGTTAAAATTAAATTGAAATTAATATTACAGTGACTGCCATTTTCCATAGTAAGGGAGTGAGGACTGTCTTGTCTTCTGGAGAGAAAACATCACTGCATTTTGGGGGACACAAGGAGGTCACCCCCTGGCCCCGCCCAGAACGTCCACAGAGTCAGAATGAAAAAGTATTTTAAAGAAAAAAACAGTTTTGTCATTATTATTACTACTATTATATCACATACAGCAGTGAGATCTGTGGGAAGAAATGCATACGTCAACTGAACACAAGGGTTTTTCCAGAGACTGGTCACACACAATTGCGTTGTCATATATGACACACCCAATATCTTGGCAGCGCCTTAAGAAGAAGTCCAAAGCTGGTGGAAGATGCTGTTCTCATCCAGGCATACACTGACTGACCCGGTCAGGAATGTTCTCCACCACTGGGACTTTTATCTGTTACTCACCCGTCTACCAAAATTATCCTCCAGCATGAACACACTGCCTGTTGGTCCGTCAGCATGCTGTAATGATTTCCTCTCTCACTTGTATTTTCCATTTTTCATCCACTGCCATGCGCCACAGTGACACTGACTTCATGCAGGTAAAAGATCCAAAATCAGCCACTTAAAGCAGGCACACCCTCCTGCTTTGTCACCATGACGATGTAGATTTTCTAATATTAAATTTAATGAAGTGACGCCATCACTGGCCACCAGCACACCCGCTGACTTCACCAAACCACACCAAACCACACCAAATATAATCCAAACCTCTGGAACAATGCTCGCACTAAAACATAACAAAAGAAACAACAGCTGGATCCAATTTTTTTCTGCATGCACAACAATGACACAACGCTCGTAGTTGTATTGTTTCACCAGACCAGTGCCATGTTTACACACAATGTCCTTTACTTGTGCACAGGCACTACACAGCCACACCCTGACATGTGTGCACAAGTGTGACGCAGGCTGATTACTGGTATACACTCTTTTAGAAACTGTCACGGCCACAGTCGGGCCTATAATCCATACCTGCTGAGGCTAATCTGCTCTTGGGATTATCAGGGAGCAGCCAAACACCTGGTCCAACAGCATAGTGGTAAGAGTCAATAATGTCAGTGACTCTAAGAGAAAGAGCAAGTCTCTTCCCACTTTGTTTTCTTGACAATGACAAAAGTGACACAGACGTATTCACATCCTCAAATTAAGCATGTATTTACTCTGTTAATGCATTTTTAAAGGAATATCTTAATATTTTGCTTTACTTGCTGAGAAGTAGAGGAGAGGATGGACACAACTCACATCTGTACGGTGAATATGACGCTACAGCCAGGAGACCATTAGCTTAGCTTAGCTTTGCGTAAGGCAAAGAAACAGGGGAAACAGCTTGACCTCTTCCTTTGGATGTGGCCTACTGGTTTACAGATTTTGGCATCTTTGGACAGGCTAGCTTTTTTCCCCCTGTTTCCAGGCTTTATGCTAAGATAAGCTAAGCTGCTGGTGTGAAATCAAGTGAAAGTTCAGCCAAATGTTCTGGAAGTGTCAAAAATAAACATAATCATTTTTTAGAATAGCCTTATAGAGGTCGGACTATTACATTATCATTAAAGATGCATCAGAGGTGTAGTTGTTAACTTTTTAAAAAATGACTTTTTGTCATATTTGTTTAAATCATCTGTATCATGTTACAGAAAAACAAACAGTACACTAAAATATGTCTCAGAAAACATCTGAGGTGAGATACAGGTTGTGCAGTAACTGGATCTTGTTTCAAATGTTATCAGTGCTGCCTAGTTTGACAGTTTGACTGTATTTATAACTGTATAAATCTAACAAGCACAACCTGTACATTTCGAGACACAATGCATGTAACGGGCGTAAACTGACACTGTGTCCCAGAACATCAGCAACAGACACACCCAAGATACCTAGTGCGTCATATGTAAACGTCAAAAGTCCACTAAATATGTGACGAGTTGGGAATGAAAATATGTTGTTCACGGGCAGATCATTCATTATCCATAACTGCTTATCCTGTTAGCTGACCCCTGCCGACCCTGTGATCCCAGTTGACACTGGGCGAGAGGCGGGGTACACCCTGGACAGTGTCACCAGACTACCGCACCGCACATTCACACCTACAGGTAATTCTGAGTCACTAATTAACCTAATCTGCATGTTTTTGGGAGGAAGCCCAAGAACCTGGAGAAAACCCATGCTGACACAGGGAGAACGTGCAAACTCTGCACAGCTTCCCCACCCTGGGGTTCTGACCAGGAATCCTCTTGCAGTTAGGTGACGAAGCTAACCACCACATAAAATCTTAATCTGAAAGGTAACTACAGCTGCTAGAGGAACAAAGTTGCATAAAATAGAAATACTCAAGTACCCCAAAATACAGTGCTTCAGTCTGCATTTTATATAAAACATTTTATTTTTATGCGTTACAATTTGTTATGAGTCATTTACACAGCTGCACGGTATGATAACACTGTTAAAGTGGTGAAACAGTTATCAGTATAAAAAGAATATGTTCATATATTAAAACATTTGAGACAAACATGATTTACATCCTACGACTGTTAACGTCTTCACAGTTATTTACATGACAGAATACTGTGTGGGGTGATCGGCCGTTTGTCCAGGTGGCATATGGAGGACGTATGCAGACACTTAAAAAAGCATGCATATAAAAACACAATGGAATATGCAGATTGCAAAAGGCATGACACTGTCACAGGAGTCTGCTTCACTGGTGTTTGTCACCTGTATGGACCTCTACAGTAAGAGCAAAGAAGCACGTAATGTAAACAAGAAGCTAGGACATGATCTACGTGTCTGATTCTGACGGTCACACTGGCCGACAACAATCTAAAACCTACAGATCGTAATCAGCTGCAGCTGTGAGGGTCCACTCGAGGGACAAGAGGGATCAAGCAGAACAAGTCCAGAGAGGAACATGTGAGAATACCAAAGAAAACACTGGGATTAGTCTGTCAGACGGTTTTTCAGATTGAGGAGCAGGATCAGGGCCAAACAAGTAGTCACAGGGCAGATCGTTTTTTAAAGAATCGCTGGTAACCTTGAGGTTTTTTCAGCAGGAGACACAGCTTGAGGTTGTCTCTCCAACTAGCACATGTTGTTTATCAGCCTGCTTTTCCTGTTCCCTCAGTTGCATTACATATGACATCTGAAAGCAGACCATTTGATCAAATCCCTGGGACGCTTGGCCCCGCAGCATTTTTCCACTGAAACGTGTTTTCACTTATTTCTGAATCTCAGAGCTATAGAGGGTTCATGCTCTCTGCTTTTCTCCCATCACCACTGTTTTTACTTTGTCATGTCTACCAAGTCGTACATTTGCAAACATACAGCGAAGCTTCTGATGGATGGAGCCATTAAAAAGGCAGAGAAATCACCTGCCAGGAGAAAAGTTGCTGGAGTAATATTCAGATTGTGAAAGGCTGCTTTTACATTGATGAACAGCAATAATATATACACCATCACTACATTTGGCCATCTTAAAGGAATAGTTTGACATTTTGGGAATTGCATTAAATGTTGGGCTACAGCAAGCAGCTTTTTGGCTTAGCACAAAGACTGGAAACAGGTGGAAACAGCGAGCCTGGGTCTGTCCAAAAGTTTAAAAATCCATCTACTAGCACTTCTAACATTCGCTCAATAACACGTTATATTTTATTTGTTTAATATGCAGGGCCTACATGCTTATATCGACAAATTTTGTTACATGTGGACAGAGTCAGGCCAGCTGTTTCCACCTGTTTCCAGTCTTTATGCTAAGCTAAGCTAACAGCAGTAGCTTCATATGCACTGGACAAATATGAGAGTCATCTCAGCCTCTAATAGAAAGATAATAAAAATGTTTAACTATTCATTTAATGTACAGTAGTTCATACAGAGCTGATCCACCGGTGTTGATTTTAAATTGTAAATATTTTAAAATTAAGATAGCACCATTGACTAAAAGAGAGCCACTCACGTCTCTCTGAGAAAACATAAAGAGTAAATTTCATATATCTTAAATATCTTAACATCTAAAGCCCAGTTCAGACCAAAGATTTGTGACAAGACAAAACCCTTTCAGAACGCTGCAGAGAAAAGTTGCAGCGGTGTGAACTAGCCGTCTAAGCTCCACTCAAGCTGGCTGATGGTGTCACCTCCAACTCAACTGGTCAAATCGCCGGCAGCTGGTTTTAAAACGCAAGGCTGCTCGCAGGTTTCAACAGCCAATTGGCTTGTAGTGAAGTCCGCTGAGGAACTCAATGTCGGACGGTGGGTCGCTGCTGCTGCCGTCCGTATGTGCTTATGCCCCCCTCACACACACATTCTCATTGACTAATGAGACTGGTGCTGGTTATTCATATTATTGTGGCGTATATATCCTGAATACAGTCCATCTGATGCTTGTTTTTTTACAGTTCCAAATGCAGCTGTAGCCAGTATCTCACTATCACTATCCTCAATCATATTTTAAGAAGCCATAAATTATATTCAGCCACAAAATAAGCCTGAAAAGCTGGAAATCAGAACATAAGTACAGAGAGTTGTTGCAGTTAGATGATACACCATTTCATGTAGTTGCATTGGTGTGAACCGGCAGGTAGTTGCCTGTTTCAACTCGTCTCAGCACGAATCTGTGGTCTGAACTGGGCATAAAAGGGGACCTGTCATGCTCATTTTCAGGTCCATACTTGTATTTTGGGTGTCTAGTGGAACATATTTACATGCTTTAATGTAAAAGAAAACATTCCTCATACTGTCTGTACTGGAATACCTGTATTCACCCCATCTTTTTGAAACATTTAGCGCCTGTCTGTTTACGACACCCTCCTAAAAAAGCCCAGTCTGTTCTGATTGGTCAGCGTAATCTGGTCTACTGTATCTCAGCATCTCTGCAGCCAGGAGAATGACTGTAACAGTGAATAACCAACCAGACATGTTCCAGCAGAAACATGATCCAAATCAGGGACAAATTAATAACATTAACAATCAAGATTACAGGTTTCCCTGACATTAGCATATTGCTACTCGTAGCAGTGTACTTGCAGCTAGGGAATGACCATGTATGACGCCACTTTCTCCAATGAAAAATCACCAGTTAGAGCTTTTAAACACAACTGGACATGTTTGAGCAGGGATTTGATCTTAAATTGGGAAGAAATTAAAGATACCTGCAGCCAAGATTACATGTTTCCCGGTGTTAGCAGGTAGCTACATGTAGCAGTGTACTTGCAGCCGTAAAAAATCCTGTGAAAAACCACCAATAAATGCTTCTAAACCAAAATTTTCACAACCAGTCATGTTTCAACAGAAATATGATCCAAAATCAGGGACGAATTGACAACATCGCTATCAAAGATTACATGTTTCCCTGATGTTAGCATGTAGCTTCATGTAGCAGTGTATGTAATGTAAACACTTGCCGTAGTGTGGCTGGAGCAGATGACCATATAACAAAATCTGTCCCAGGCTAACGATCTCATGCCTTAAGTTTTTGCATACAGGGATTATTTTATATAATTACCTCATTATTTAAAACTTTGGCCACGTTTAACATGAACATCTGACATTCTACAAATATATAGAAAATACAGAAAAGCATGATAGGTCCCCTTTAACTAGCAAACATACCAACGGCAACACTATATACATATTCACAGTTTTAAGTTCTTCCCTTTAAAAGAATGGATAGTTATGACATGATGACACAAAACTCGATATTTGACTAAACAACAGTACTAGCGTAGACAGAATTGTGATGAACATTTCAAGTAATAGGATGCAGTCCAGTTTTCCCATGAAAGGAGATGTCCAGCAGATGAGCAGCAAACACTCGATGTCACAACCAGCTCACCCAGTCAAGAGAAGGCACAAAAGAAGGAAGAAGAAGAGTCAACACTTCAGGGACGTACGCAGAGAGACAGACAGAGCGAGGTCGTTGGTCAGGAAAGTAAAGAGCAGCGTGCTGAATGACAGTCCATCTCAAACAGTCCATGAGCGCACAGTGCCATGATGAAGAAAGTGGAGAGTCTTGACAGGGAGATTCAGTTTTTAACAGAGAGGCAAGTTTCTGTGCATCAGGAAAAAGTGAGTCAGTTTGCAGAGTCCACATTTTTATATGTATGAGATACATCTAATACACACACTACAATCTAGTTTTTTTCTGAGTGGCAGTGTCTTTTATCAGTTGTTTCCAGTGAGGAGAGATTGTTTTTGGCAGCATGCATCTCCTAGAGAAAAAGCGCAGCACCCAGCATCTTTTTTAGAGTACTCTGGCTTTTTTGTGCAACCACTCTAAGCGCTTAACTCACTCAACTTTTCAGAAAGACACTGTTGTTGTCACTGCCGCTCCTTTAGCTACTGTCTATCCCAAGCTATACGTTATGTCCGTCAGAAACTATCACAACAAGGACAGAAAAGCCTATTTGTGGGAGCAGTTTGCCCAAACACTGAATGTTGCTGGTGAGTGTTGGGCTTTTATCACTGTATACGCTGTAAGCTTGTTGTGAGCTCTATTGTCAGCCCTGTAGCATGACATTAGCTAACTAGCTAGCATCAATGTGTAGATATTGTTGTCACAGAAACAAAACCCTCATGTAGCATGCCCAAAAAAAAGCAATGGGAGCACTTTTTTATGAAGCCCTGGAATGATGCCAAAGAAAAACACTATCAGATTTATTATACGTGGACACACACCTTGAAGCTCTTAGGAAATACAATATTCTATTCTGTTTATGAGGCTGCAATATCCTGTAAGCCCACTTGAGATTGAACTGATGGGAAATAAGCTTGATTGGTTTCTTAAGAGAGAAGGTTGATACCACTCTCGAAACGGGGAAACAGCTCGCCTGGCTCTGTCCAAAGGGAAAACAATTGGTGCAAAAGTCAAGTTGCAAAACAACAATTTGTGATTTTACAGGAGATAAGTGCTGGAATTTTTCCTGATCTGGAGCAATGACTTCCTGTATACGGATTGGTCAGGCAACATAACCCCCAATAAAACTGCAGTGTGTTGTTTTAAGATTTTGTTTTTGCACAGAATTAATAAACAAGATGTAGTGTGTTAATCAGGGCAGTGGTTCTCAAACTTTCTGTGGCCAAAGCACCCCAAACGGCAAGTCAAAATCTCAAGGCACACCTATTAAGATCTGTGCACAATGACTTCTATAACATGTGTTATCACTCTAATCATAACATAAGACAATAAAATTAAGAACAAATACGACAGGTAGCTTTTGTGATACTGTCTACTGACAGTTTTTTTTCTGTTTTCTTTTGTTGGTAGGTTGTGTTCGCTGGTGCTTTGTTATTTGTTGCATACCATAAAGCGATCCATCGTCCCACTCATGGCTTTCTCCTTTTAAATGTTACCATCCCTCACACTGGCTGCCAATCAGGGCATTTGATGTGTCACACACTAATGTAAGAATAGGAACAAATATTTTCCCAGTTAAGGTATTTTTAAAATAAATTAAAGTAAATTTTTTAGCCAGAGTTTGTCTCTTTATCAGGAAATGGGTTTGCACAACATGCTGATCCAGTAATTCATAACTTTTTTGTATAGGCCCAGTTGAATATTGCAATACTAATTTTTGTTTATCGCAAAATCCAACAGAACACCTGGGTTGGCATCACAGCACACCATTTGAGAACCACTGAATTCGTGCACCATAGAAGGGCTGGTAGGCAGATTTTGTTACCTTTGGACTGCCAGGCTAACTGTTCCCATTTGCTTATGGTCTTTATGCTAAGCTAAGCTAAGAAAGCAAATTAGTATATTTCCCAAAGGTTTGTACTATTCCTTTAAATCTTCTGTCATGCATACTTACGTGTATTATGTATATTATAGTTATATGTTCAAAACTGCAGAAGCTACACCCCCTTTGCTCTTTAGTCCATATGCAACCAGATCATAATTTGTCTCTTTTCCGTTTCTTTTCCTAAAACAAAGTCTTGGCATGTACATAGCCCCACATTAAGTATTTCACTGTCTTTTAATCCCCACTGACTCTACAGTAGCTGATAATATTGACAAAGATCATCAGAGGACTTGTAATTCAAATTAAGTACTTGTAACAGAGTCCTAAAATAGAAAGAAATACCTTGTTTACAGTAGAGCTTCATGTGTGCACCGAGGAGCTCTCTCTGCGGGTATCCACAACGCTGCAGCACATAAAAACAAAAACACATTAGATTTCATCTTCCTATTGTAATTGGTTACTTCACTGCACAAACAAGTGCCTACAACTTATCTTGGGTTTATCTGGCATGAAGAATCTCCATGGCACAGACGGCGGTGATCTACAGCCAGATACGACTTAAAAACACCCACCGCTTTAACACACAGACACAGTGCTACTGCCAGACTGTTGGCAGACAGAGGAATGTCTGTGTCTCCTAATGGTTTCTGTCTCATTGTATCAGCTCCGGGCCTGATTGGTGAAGATCTAAGGATGATAAATTTGTTTCCACACTGGTTTGGCATGACTTGAACTTTTGGTCATCCTCCAGCGCCTTTTTTTTTTTTTTTCAGCACAATCTCGCCAGACTGCTGTATCTCAAACTCACTTCCCTTTTTCCCTCTCTCACATCCTGGTGCGTTTGGTCCATGTGTTTATCTCATTGCAGTCTAAAAGGAAAAACAACAGAGGCACTCACGCTTGATGATGCCGTACAAAGTCTGCAAACTGCCGGTCCTTTGCGTAGAGCTCAATAATGCGTATCCTGTCTTGGATTTCCTGCAGAAACACATGATATCAGTCGGGAGGGAGCATTACATCATAGGCAGATAAAAAAACAAACTGAACAGGCTGTGGCTCAACCAAAATGTGACATTATGCACTCAGAAAAAAATATAATGGCTTCCTATTTAAGAGCAAATAAAGCCAGCTGGTAATATACCAAGACTTCCCAGTTCAGATTCTTGTCAGGTAAACTTTTGATGTGGGAAATGAAAGTGATGTATCCCATCCTGGGCACATCTTCTACCTGCATTTCAGTACAACTGTATAAATTTTTCTTTATGAAATGAGAGAAGACATCTCCATGACTTGGTGTACATCCATATTAGGCCAGTTAATGTAATAATACTTATTTTTCTCCATTTCAGATCAGTAAGCTATGCGGTATTATATAGAGTAGTTAGAAGGGCCCCAGCTGCACCATTAAAGTCATGAACACATAAATGCATTACTAATCATAATTCAATATAAAAAACTATTATATCATTCTAATATGGGCCAACTGCAAAATGAGTTCATTTGTTTTGGTACATTATGTATATTTTAGTGCATGTACCTTGTACTTTTTCTGAAAGGGAACTTATTTTTGAACCTGGACCCTATTTTCTCATGTTTTTGCATCTATGTGACTAATACAGAGACGACAATTTTTTAAATTAGTCCAGTATTGAGAGAGCGATAGAGCCACAGCGATGAAACAGGCTGCAATGTAATCACTATGGGCTAGTGTAGGGTTAGCTAGCTAGCTACTGAAGATATAGCCTACTGAATGTATACACATGCTGCTTTTGCTTTGTAATGATTATAACAGTGAATAAAGACCGACCCTGCTGTACAGGAACCAGTGAAGGGAAGCAGGGAAACTTTGCTGATATTCAACCAGCTGTGTGT